TGGTCCTCTTGATGCAGGTGCGCGGCAGCTTCTTCAACCGAAGGTCCGCTATGGCGGACTATCTTCTCCAGCGGCCACCTCAGCTATGGCGCCTCACCCTGCGCACGACGGCGCGCGTGGAACAGCGGGTACCTGCTCCGATACCAGTGCGATCAGACTCGACTCACTTCCACTCTTCATGCATGTAAACAGCGATACAGCAAAGTGGCGACCTGCGCCCACACAGTACTCAGAGATATCGCAACCAGATAAGAGTTCTCTTGTAATTGGCTATGGCGGCTGTGCGCCCAAACAACTCACTGTTCACACTCTGGATCACCCTGGATATCCCACTCGCATCACTCTGAACACTCACCCAGTACACACACACTGCACTCTACACTAAGCTATGGCAGCTATGGCTGCCGCTACGTATCGCTATGGCTACACTGCTTCCCTCTCGCCCACTTCGTCTTCGGGCCTCCTGCAGACCTCCTTGCACAAGACGCTGAGGCAGCACTTCCGCATGGCTTCCGCATGAATGAATGAATGGCTGGACGCAGCCTCTTGATTTAGACTTTTGTGCCTCGTTGGTCTGCCCTGTGTCCCGTGGCCCACGGTGCACACAGTCCCAACAGTACTTGCTTGACTGGACCGGACTGGGTGGACTGGGACTGCTGACTGGACTAGGTGGACTTCCACCACTTGACCACTTGCCTCTGCCTAACGTAGGCTGACTCCGAAAGGCCACTTCTAGAACTCTCTGCTTTGGCCTTTCGGTACTGTAGCAGCTACGACTTTGCCCTTTCAGGTAAGTAGCAGCTACGACCTTGACCCTTCGGACAGTCTACCCCTACGGCCTCTAGGACTGTCTAGACTCCTACCCGACAGGTCTACAGTTCGAGTCCCTGCTACCCCGTAACCTACGAAATCCTACCTACCTCTGGCGGTCCTACAGGTCGCAGGTTCAACTCTATGGGTTGACACAGGTATTATACACGGGTAAGGTGGGGAACTAGGGGTCGAGCCCTGGGATCGGCATCGGCTACTGCGAACTGGTGAATACCGTTTCAGCATGAAGTTTCTTATGAGAAAGGGGCACTGGACCCGGTTGCCAGTAAGAGCCAAATCTGGGTAATGGCCCAAGCGGGTTAAGTTTAGGTAGGTGAAAGGAAATCCTATTTAAGGCATTCTGGGAGGTAGAAGAATATTTAACGGAGTTTAGGATGCAGAAGTTTAAGGTTAAAAGTGATAGGTGAGCAAGCCATAGGCCTTCAAGGGCTAAGGGTGTAATAGGAAGAAACAATTGGGATGGAAGGGCAGGAAATTTAGAGGCTGAAAGAAGCGATGGGGGGTATTATGGATCTATAGGGATGAACAGAGCTATTACTCATTCCTTTCATTTCTGTTTTGGTCTTACGTTGTCCAGTTTGTGTTGGCTTGTTGCAGTGAATGAGACGCTGGACCCGGATTCCAGCATAAGCCCACCTGGGTAACGGTCCCAGTACATCCCGGGTTGAAAAAGAAAATATTGACAGGATAACCTAGGCTCTACGATAGAGGAAAACAGCTTAGTGGGCATATTTTCAGCTTAGTGGACCTAGACGACTAGGGTTTATGTAAATAGGGGCTCGGTCTCCACGTCGCCAAGGACAGTAGGGTTTAGGGTTTAAGGAGAGCGGACAGAGAGGTGGAGGTGTCGGAGGTAAGGGGAAAGACGAGCAACAAGCGGTCGGTTTCAGGGCTTAAGATGAGGATAGGTGGAAAGATAGTAGGCAGGTTCCCTCGTTTCTGCTATTTTGTCATTTTGTTAATCCAGTTTAGTTTTTGTTCAGGAATAGCATGAAGTTTCTTAAGAGAAAGGGGCACTGGACCCGGTTGCCAGTAAGAGCCAAATCTGGGTAATGGCTCCAGGCTTCCGGGTTGAGATGTGGAGGGATTCCCGGCCTCCTTTTGCTCCATATATAATAATTTAATAAAGCATGTTCTATTTCTTGAAAAAAAAAAAAAAAAAAAAAAAAAAAAAAAAAAAAACAAAAAAAAACGGCCCCGGGGGGGAGGGCCCAAACAGAGGGGGGGGGCCGGCACAAAAAAAAAAAAAAAAAAAAAAAAAAAAAAAAAAAAAAAAAAAAAAAAAACAGTGAAAAGATACGGTAAATACTAAATAGTAAATAGTAAATACCTGCTTTCAGTGCTTTGTCTTTTACTGATTTTGGAAATCGAAAGATTCGAAACTAATACTAACGCTCTCTTTGCTAATGAATAAATCAGAATAATGAAATAATTTAATTTATTATGGCCCCGCGATTGCTCTTTATCTGCAGTGATGTCTGGGACCTCAATGTCCACTCCAATTGTTGCTGGCACAGTTTTACTGCTCCGTCAGTATTTCACTGACGGTTATCATCCCACTGGGAAAATGGTAAACATCTATTCCTTTGTTTTCCTGTTTTTCAACCATCTTTTTTTTTTTTTTTAACGATATTAACAAAAATTTCCATTTTTTTCGAAACCGAAAATCCAACCATCTTACCTAATGACACACTGCCTCTTCTTTGAATTCAGTCATAGCTGCGGTGACAGTGCGGTCCTTACATCCACAATGATTGGAGTGGACTGTGCCCTAATACCTCTGGTAACGAGTATAGTTCCTTTGGTGCCTACAGTCTTCCCCTTGAACAGAACATATGGACATTACAGCCGTATTTGCCCCACTTTTGAGTCCAGCTGCAGCAAAAATGGACGTGCATTCTATTCAGAGGAAGAAGGTAGGTTAGCAGAGCCGAGATCCGCCCTGCCGGGCTGGTGTGAGTAAAGTCGAGCACTTTCCTCTCCAAGGGTATTGCAGCTATCACAAACTCTGGGCGACGAGGTGAGTCCTTACCCATCAGTCAAATGCATCCTGGGCAGACGGTTGGGGTTTAACCTCCTGGTGAGTGGGCAGAAGCCTGATGAAACAGTCTGGCATAGCCATGCTTTTTTTGTTTTGTATATGACAACACACACACACACACACACACACACACACACACACACACACACACACACACACACACACACACACAGAGGCGTGCGCTTGCGCACGCACGCACACACACACGAACACACACAATCATTGAAAGTTCGATGAAACAGTCTTGCACATTCATGCTTTTTTTGTGGAATTGTGTACAGGGAGCATGACAACACACACAATGATATTGTTTATAACTTCTTGGCTTTGTTTCTATCTTTCTCTGTGCTGCCCACTTTGTGCGCCTTCTGGGCTTGTCCTGTGTTCTCCTGCGCCTAAGAGAGCACTTTCAAGATGTGCCAAATAGTCAGTGCCTATTTGTATGGAATGCCTGCAACACTATTAAGGGGGATGCTGTTATTTAGGATGCCTTCCGGTGTGTCTGTGTGTGCTTTCTAGTGGCAACAAACATTCGTTGAAGTGACTCCACAGCTCCAGCGATGATGTGAACCTGTACTCTGTAGAGTTGTACTCGTTGTGTGTGTAGGTGATGATCTGCTTCTGTCTGCTTTGGATGTGTGGACTGCCTAGTTGATTCTTCCCTGCTGCCTGGCTACCCGTCCGCCTGCCCTGACTTGCCTTGCTTCGCTC